ATCGACTCACGAGTATCTTAAAGTAGAGATTTCAAGCTTTCATTTGAAAAAAAGTTCATCATTTTACGATGATTTTTCGCGGAGTTACCGTTAATCAAAGTTGCCCAATTTTTGCTCAAAATTTTTCTATGCCATAATTTTTTTGAGCAGTGTATATATTTTATAGATAACTAATATTTTGCAAATGCAAACCACGATGTACTATCTTTAGTCTAGAGACAGTATAACACTAATCGTCGTCCGCATTTGCAAAATATTAATGCGTTTTAAAATCTATAAAAAAAAAGTGTTGCAACCGATGTGTTCATAACTGTACACGCGCATACTATTTTTTTTTGTAGTCCTGGGATGACGAATTAGCGAATATTGCACAAAGATGGGCCAATCAATGCAAATTTGGTCATGACAAATGCAGAAATGTGGGTAAGTTCCAATTTATACATATGTTAATAATTGTTAATTATATATATGATTCATTTGTTAGCAAATAATGTATGCTATTGCAGATAGATACGCAGTTGGTCAGAATGTAGCCGAGACATACAATTCCGGCGAAAACAATTCTCCTGTAGAGGGTATGGTTCAAATGTGGTACGATGAAGGGGATAAATTTGACAAAAATGATGTTAAAAAATATAAGTAAGTATCGTTCCAATATTGAATGTCCTAATTACATATATGTCTATAGATTTTATATATATTAACAAATATACTAGTAAATTAATTCTTCAGATTGCAAAACTTTTATATGTAAAGATATCTATGCATATAAATAAATTTAAAAAAATAATTGCGTGTAAATTAATAATAGTATTATATGTATAAGATCACAAGAGTATCAATTAAAATATCTCTACTTGTAGATTTATGACACATTTTTTAATGTGTTCATAAAATAATTTATTTGCAGATTCGATTCGAATACAGGCCATTATACTCAAATGGTCTGGGCTAAAACAACAAAAATCGGTTGCGGACAGATAAAATATAAGAAAAATGGCTGGAAAACGAAATACTTAGTTTGCAATTACGGCCCAGCTGGAAATTGGATAGGTGAGAAAATATATGAAGTTAAAAAATAAATCCAATTGATATGGAAAAGATATAATGGATTAATAGAAGATTAAAGATGTAAGAACTAGTGACACAAAAGAAAATAGAAAAACAAATAAAAAGCTATAATATATGTTTTATTAATACGGAGACAAATATTCTTCTTTCTCTTCTCGTTCTCCTCTTCTTTTTTCTTTCTCTTTTTAATATTGTTTAATATCATCTTTCTCTTCAAATTTTGCTTGTTAAAAATAGCTTTCCAACATTAAACAAAAAATATCAATATACTAATGTAATTTTTCTGTTCTAATATATGTATTGTATCTAGAAATAAAAATGAGCAATAAATAAAATAATATAAATTTACTTTAACCTTGAAGATTTATTTTTATATGCAATTACATACTTGTGTTTTTTTGCATTAATTTTATTATTATTCTGTGCTAAGATACAAAATTAAAATGAAAATCAAAAAATCAATATTTTATGTTAAAATATGTTGAACTAAATCTTTGATTAATAACAATTTTTCCTAAAATTGTTAATTATTTTAGTATAACACAAAATAAAATTAGTATTACGTATATAATTTTTGCTGTGCTAATAAATTTAGAAATGTAAATATACAATAAAAAACAAAATAAATTTGTTTTAATCATAAGTAATTTAATAGTGCCTATGCAAGAGAACACGGATGTTGATGTTGTAATAATTTTTATTGTTACAAAATTAAGTCACATGCAAACTGCACGCCGCATATATTGTCGGTTTTGAAACACATAAATTTTTACACAGTTTTAGGAACAGGGAATTCTATAAATGTTTATTAGCATCAAAAATATTAGATTGCTTGACAATTTAATTCGATACAGTAAATGCTGACCTCATAAAGGAACTGTTTTTCAAGACCGACATATTGGCGGCGCGTATTTGTATGTGGTAGGATATTGTATACTGAAAAAAAATATTTTGTATTTGTGACTATAATTGCATGGTAAAAAGTTATGACAATGAGCACTATTTTTATAATTATTATATTATTATATAATGTTAATAATAATAATTTTATATGTATAGTTCTACCAAATATGAAAAAATTTTACAATGAATTATAATATAATTTCAAATATTATTTATTAATACAGTCGAACCTCGATAACTCGAACCTCTACAACTCGAAAATCTCTGTAAGACGAAAAATTTGTTCATTCCCTTCTGCTCCTGTACGGACAACCTCTATAAATTGAAATAAAACCTACCTTAATTCGAATTATTTGTCAGATATTTAGATGTACAGAGGAACCTCGATAACTCGAACCTCCACAACTCGAAAACCTCTATAAGACGAAAATTTTATTCATTCTCTTCCGCTCCGCTGCAGAAAACCTCTATAAATTGAAATAAAACCTACCTAACTCGAATTATTTGTCAGGCATTTAGATATATATTTTACCTCTGTAACTCGAATTTAAAGTAGCCAGACTTCTACAAGTCGAAGTTTACCTCTATAAGTCCTGTCTCTTATACACAT